GAATGAGACATAAAATCGACATTCGAATCGTAATAAGGAATTTGGTCGTCCATTTTTGTTCAGTAATCTTCTTTTACAACTCTCCTTTCATTTTCTCTAACATTTAACAGGATAAGTAATTCTGAGATTAACAATTGTGTTAATTGCTAATAGATAATGAATTGTGCATTTTTCTAATAGAATTCCTAATTTGTCTTTCGTGAGAGAAAGATATGTGGAAAAATCTCACTCCTGTTGATTTAATCTCTGGTAATGCCCAGATGATTTGAAAATAGATGACGTTCTAATGGCGCGGGTAAGTTCTCTATCCTTCAAAATGACGTGGATGTGATATGAGTAATACATACTCTTTATCAAAGGGTAATATAAGACTCGTGTGTCATTGTTATAAATATGATCAATCAAAATTGGGTTTGCGGATTAATGTTTCGTGACTAAATTAATCATGGAAACGTATTAGTTCATGTTAAAATATCATCATCAGAAAATTAGTAGATTTGTATTTTTCCACAAAGAGAAGTTAGTTGACACATGAAACTCAATGAGTGACATAATAGTCTGCCAATTGCAACTGATAAATTTGATTTAATTGACCCTCAAAGTTCATAAACTGACAAATAAATGCTTATTTACTTATCAACACAATTCGGAAATCAAAGCGCGAGGTAAACTAAATTAAGCAATCTTACAATATCCCAAAATCAGTGCCTTTCACTGTACTATATTGGCTTTTGATGCTCAATAATGAAAACTATAAAAGGTCAATATTACAGTAATGGATTGCAAAATTTTGATTTGAAGCAGATATAAAGAAATGATGTACGGAGTAGCACCATCACGGTAAAACAATCAAACACATTGCTGTACAGGCATGCTTTGCTGTGCATCACTGCATAAGAACAAAGGATTGGGAGTGTTGAAAGAAATGAAGTAACCCTTCTTACAATGGCCTCCATCTTTCAAGAATGAATTTCCCTGTCACATTTCCAAGTATGAATGCCACCAAGATTGTTAGTACTGCTGTAATGTCAATGTCCAAGTAACTAACATACACACGTAAAAAAGTGCAGCATAACACAAAGAGTCTCTGAGTTTGAAATTGCTAGATTATTAGTTCCTCACTTTGTGTCCAACGTTGGGTAGCATATTAACTTAAATTTAAAACTGAAAAGGATCATTTTACACAGTTACAGACAACCATTGATGGAAAGTGATAAGAAATAATATACATTATTCCTTTTACTAATTGTGGTAGAGAACATCAAAGTTTAAATATAGCGTGGTACTTTGTTGCAACAGTGTTTTTCAGTTTATCTTTAAATGAAAATTGTATATAGAAGCTTGATAGAGGGTATTCTATTTTCATTAAAAAACGATAAAGCTTGCACTATTACAATGCACAGTCCTCTCGCAACTTAGATTTCAGTGCGAGTTTTAAGTGTTAATGTCTTGTTCAACCGTTGAAGTCACTACCCAAAACTGCGAAGAAAGTGTTAACAAGGGAATATATCTGTGCTCGTCTTCATTCTGTGCTTGTATGTCCTATTTCAGCAGAAATATAGTTTTTGACGTCAAACGGCCTTATTTCGTCCTGTTCTTTCAACGCTGTTTTCGCCTGTCTGAATCCATTAGTTAAGTTTTTCTTTTCATTCTTTTTCATGTCTTCTTACGCTTCGGAAATGTGACTAAAAATGCAACTTCCAAAGAGGTGCCAACGCCAGTGTGCGCAAACGTGATGAACATGTTAACATGCTGTTTTTGTTGCCGGGGCCGTATATGGACCGACGTCTGACGAAGCAGTTGTAGTGACGTGGGTCGCCGGCGTGTGGTGATATCATTGTCCATAAACGCATTAATGCTTTTTAAGCTACTCTTCCACAGTGTAGGTCTGTGTAACGGAAAGCTCTAATGGCCTTTTAATTCTTGATAGGATGAATGGTTCTTTGAATTATGATTCCAAGAATAAACTGTTCTAACTAAACATGAATTCAACGTTAGAAAGGAGTCTCAATTAGCTTATTCACTGCTATTTCTGATTTTTTTTCATATCGTGGATACTCATGTGAAAACCAAATACTATACATCTACCGCAGTAGGAAATGTTTTATAATCTTACATTCGACGCAAACCTTTATAGTCTTCATTTCACAGTAAAAGATCATAACAGAATATATTTTAGTATTGAGAAAATGTTCGAATCGCGATCTTGGGAGAGAGTCTACACACAATGCCATGCACAATGCCATTATTCATTAAGCATAAATCTTTTACGTAAACAGAAATATGTACACTGCAGATAAAACCACTTTCAGATTAATTAGATGAGGGATTTTTGGGCGAAGCTTCGCAAATTATGGTAAAAGGACTCTTTTTATTCATAGTAAAATTCCTGTTCCTGCTTAATTGCAATAATGAACATTACGAATAAATTGTGCATAATGTATGTATTTCCAAAATATCAATTTCTGTAGGTATAAAAATTGTAAAAAAAAGCGTGTTTTGAAGTATGATTTTCTCGGACAGAGGTCTGTTGAAATGCACAGCACTTTTGTTGCACTTCTCAGTGATGCACCAAGCCCAAACATTTCATACATGCACAATAAAAATTCAATGTATTCATTTATTCAATGGCTTCTTATTGAAAAAAAACATAAATCGTTATAGCCTGTTTTGTGTTAATAAATTGTATTACCACAATTTAAACCAAACTTAATTCGTGGTCTAAAGGTACAAAGAATACAGAAATTTGATTAATAACAAAACTTCATCATGTGTAATAATGAGCAAGAAGACATTTTTTTGAAAAGTAAAATGGTGATGTAAATGAAGTACGAATTTCTTTATCTATTTCCTATACTAGAAACAAAGCACTCCTTCCTGTAAGTTTGATTAATTAGTTCAATATCAATCTTCGTTTCTTGACCCAATTAGTTTTTAATGAATTATATAGAATATAAAGAAAATCTTGTAGGATTTTATTAGTATAGTATATCATCCATCGGCTTTCATGAAATCTTTAGGGAGGAATTTGGTCATCGCATAGTATGTATTTTTCGTCTCATTTGTTGATTTACGAGTTTTATTTAAGTTTTTATTGAATTTTATATTTACAAAATATTCACTCTAATCATCGCTGATGGTTTAAAAATTACCGTTAAACATTACTTACTGATATTACTTGAGCAAATATAAATAGAATGAGACAGAATGCCAAGATAATAGAGTAAGAAGAAATGCGTATCCAACTAAATTAACTTCCATGAGCTTGATAATTAATAGAAAGAAATAAATTTTAATAATAGGGAAAATACAATCTTGTGGTGTCACCTGTGGCAATAAAAACTAAATGCATACTCTCTTTTTAATATAGGACTTTGCTGATTTTAAAAAAATTGTGTTAAATAATCCTAGCTTTACCACGGTGTCGTTCTCCCCGGTGTCGTTCATTTCAAGCGCTACCTTAGCAAGGTTTATTTTCTCAAAATGCCAGAGAATAATCAATTATTAATTTTACTCAACTGAAAATCTTATGAACACCAAAGTTGTTTTGATTTAGAAATGCCTAATGAATCATTTGGTAAATTTATGCAGATTCACCGCATAAAAACGGCACAGCTGAAACAATAGGAAAGTCGTTTTGTAAAAAGAAATCTGATGTGCGATAAGAATTATGGCCAGCAATTAAAGCATTCGTTAGGCTATCGAATGCAGCAATGGAACACACAAAGGACCTTGAAGATTCTGTTGTGTTACGTTCAGTTGTGATTCATGTTGTCTTGTAGTTGAATATATTATATGCGTATTTTTACCCAATATCTTCCCAAGAAATTTAAAAAATATGTAAAATAGTAGATTTAGATTTATTTTAAAAGAAAATATAAAAATATTTTCAGTAACAAAATAAATTTTAGAATATATATTACAATATATTACCTGAAGTTTGATAAAATATAGAATAGATTTTTCAATTACTTCTTATTGAAAATTGAATTGAATGACTATTGAAGCTGAAGAGCTGTAGCTGTCTCGTGCGTGAAGGGTCGCGGGTTCGAATCCCACCCAGGGTATGGATGTGTCTATGTTTGTAATTGTCTATTCATTCTCCATCATCACTTCATTCCTCATCCCCCAGGGCTAACAATCTTCGGGTGTAAAAATGGATTCAGCATACAAACACTGACCTTCCCCCGCCCCGCCCCGCCACCAAAAAAAAGTGACGTGCAATGACTCCCGGGAAAGTATGACTGCGCCTCGATAGGTACAGTTGAATGTTCGCGGGCCCTAAGATGTCCGATTCGCGACCAAAAAACAAAACATTTAAAAAACAGACTTAAAAAAATTCAATAAATATAAATTGTGTTTTATAATGTTACATTTAAAACTAAAACTGCAATAAAAATATTACTATAATATTTCTTCATAGAGTTTTAATCAAAATTCAAGTTGCAAAATAAATCTAAAATATCTATATAACGGAATTTGATTGCACTATGGTTGTTTGGGAAAATATTAGAATTTTTATTTCAAAATGAAGTGTAAATATTAATTATGTATTTACATTCATTGAAATGACAAATTGCACAATATTTGCTCCTACTTTCCTTCTCTATGTTATCTGAAAATTTCACTGCAAAGAGACTGCTTCAAGCAAACGGCCTTAAATTAAGGGGAATAAAAATCTCAGCTCCTTTCAAACTGTATTGTCTTGAGAACAGCCTTCAAGTACAGGGTTTTAAAAAGTTAATAAACATCTTAGTTATTGGCTGGTATGGACAAAGCTGGGTCGAGTTCGGCATGAAATATGTAGGACGGGCCAGGTGACAATGTGAATACAATTATCTCCATTGGGTTTTATAAATGGAATTCATTCTTTTCAGTCAAATTACTTCTTCGCCGGATTTAAATGGTGGATTCGGTGGTTCATGAGGTTCGATAGGTGGTGATGGTAGTATTGTATTGGAAATTATTTATGCGAATATAATTTGCGTTTTTTTTTTCAGGGCATGTTCAGGCAGTAAACATTCTCAACTTGACTTCTGTGCCATTCGCGTAACCCTTGGCACACACCATGGACAACTTCTCATCAACGTAAGTAGATTATCTGGTGACCTGAAGCACGCCACCTTCGACGAGAAACAAATAAATAAATTACGAAAAGGACGGATGATTGCTTTTTACGTATTTAAAAAAGTCTGAAATTTTTTACACCTTTGATTGTTTATATTCATTCAGGTATATTAACACAAACAATAGCACATTACATATGCACATGTTCAACATTAGTGGCCCGTTCAAGGAACATATTAGTATTCGGTTATTCAAATTTATGCGCCAAGCAAACCATAAAATATTGCTCACTTTAAACTTATCGCTTAAGAAAAATTTAAAAGACAATTTGTACCATATCAATTGCAAAGGAATTGTCAATGCATTTCATAATTGTGAGACGTCCTTTTGACATTTTTTCGAACACCATGATTTACGGGACTATGTACAAAGTTACTATCGGGTCGGGAAGATTTTAGAGATTTTTAAGACCCGTTCTTAATTGTAAGAACGTAACAACTGCTACTGAACTTCATAATTCCACGTGGGCCCGGTTAAGCTATTATTTTCTTGCGGAAAACAATACACGGCGGATGATGAGAGATACATCGCGTCTGCCCTAGGGCCCAGCTGACTCCCGCCCAAGCAGAGGCCGGCGCCAGCACGCCCTCCGGCAGCCGACCGGACATCCAGCAGCAGGCACCCGAGCAGAGCACCGGCAAAAAGACCTCGTAAGTTTCACAACATTCGACTCCCTTTTTTACCCGCGTCAGAGGGGGGACTAGGAACTCGGCTGTAGCTATAAGTGGAAGATGAGAGAGGGGCAGATTTGAGATATCAGGTTTCCTAAGTTTCTCAGTTGTAATTACGTCGTGGGTGATACCGAGTAAGCAAGAGGCCATCGGTAATCTCGATGCCTCTTCAGCTTCCATGATTGGTAAGTCCTAGTGTTAGTCTCGACAGTGGAGGATTTTGACACATAGCTTCAGAGCTGATTCGAATGCAATCAGAACAAAGAATTTCAACGGAATGAATTCTTCGTTTGCTCCCTCACTCGCTTGCTTGTTCGCTTGCGTGTTCGCGTGCTTGTTCGCGTGCTCAAAGGGAAGTAGGAGAGATGCGATGGGGTCTCCAGAATCCCGTTATTCTTCTAATCTAAATCGAGCAACGTTTTGAAAAATAATTAAATTAAAATATGTTCAAATTCAAGGTAGAATATAACATTTATTTATAATTAAAAAATAACTTGCACAACATTCTTTAAACGAAAATGTAACAAAACGTCTACCCTAAATCAAAATTTTAAATAACATCCGATGTATGTGCCGTCTTCTCGTTTAAAATCAACGTAAGTCCTTAATTGCAGTCCAATTTCATGTAGACGATTCACTGTTTTAAAGTATAATAAATCCAGTAGCTCTAGGTATGATGACTCTCCCAAATATTTAAGTCCATTCAATTTATCACAGTACTGCCATCACTTAATGCTCCGCCAATACAACATTACATCTTTTATTTCATATGTTGCACTCATTAACACAACACTGATTAAAGTGTTCTATTTCATGTCTACACTTGGCACAAATTTATGTCCTCACTCAAAACGTTCAGTTTCTTTCTAGCTGTTGATTTTTGCGCCTTTTCACAGTTCTCTATGGCATCAGACATTGACAACCTGTGACTTCCTATTCTGGTAAGCCGTGTCTATACTTGTATTCTTGTATTTCTGTTTTGGAGTTAATCATGGACGAAATACAATCACAACTTATTAGTAGCTGTATGTTTTGTTCAAAAGACCATGCACTGATATTCCCAAATTAATTTAGATTATTAACTTGTAATCACCGGTTACCAGTAAGGTAAATATGAGGAGAGCAGAAAGAAAGTTCTGAAAGACGTGGAAAGGTGTTTCTCTCTTGTCAATGATATTTCAGCGTTTTTGTACGAATCGCATGAGAGATTCGTCACGTATGACCAGTCAACTCGAACAAGCGAAACTGCGAAGGCCAAACATTTCATCCGACTAACGCTCTCATTTTAAAAGTGAAATCTGTATTGTTTTTGCTCCATTTTAAATATATGTTAACATTTAGTATTGCGATTTTAATGTTGTCTTTGTAAATGGTGAAAACCTTATCGCATAACACAGAATTTACGACCATTCCTTTCCGATTGGGTTAGTCGCTACTAGAAGTAAAATATTCTCACTTACGTTCCAGTATAGTCTTAATACCATGGCAAGATACTTTGCTTAATTAAAGTTCGTGCATGCCCAATTAAAGAGTACAAAGAAGAAAATATAAATAATACTTATTAAATAGTGAAATTCGAAAAAATGAGTAATGAAGGAGGGAAATCTTGAAAATTCAAAGCACTGTGAAACACAATAACACAATTTTGTAAGTTATTGTGGTAAATTCGTTAATAAAATATATTAATAAATTCAACAATATTAGGTTGGATCACACTCCGCTAAAAATAAATAAAATAATTTGGCGCGAAAATGTGGAGTCTGCGATAAGCTTCATCTCTACAGTACGGAAACGTACGATTGTGGTTTCCTGTTGTATCACGAGTAGTGTCAAAAACCTTGTTAACACGTGCAGCATATCTTTCGTGTAGCTTGCAGATTCCTCTTAGGCTGCACGATGCTTAGTTGACTCAAGGTTCATAAATTATCAATATTTTAGAATGCAATCAATTATACTCGAGATATGTTACAATTAAAATAATGAAATTATATTTTTCATCCTTCAGTCAAATAATAATATTTATTAATTTGTCGGTACAACTCACGGTAAAATGTAAAGAAAATCACTCTATTGAGAACAAAACAAGATTTTAGCATTACGTTTAAATTACATCATACCTACTCTTTTTAGAGGTTTTGAACTTCTAAAATAACGAATATAATTTACCGAAATCGGAGAGCATTTGTATCACATGCATTTAAAAAAATAATCAGTATGTGAATGGATTGTGGGAATGCTAGCGGTACCTCTTATGTCCTCTGCTGAAGTATTACTTGTTCTTTCCCAGAACAAAAATACTCCAATTTTAAGTACATCATATATGATTTCTTTGAAAAACAAGGAATCGAAGGATATAAAGAAACAAATTTTCCCAAGAGCAGTCTTACGATTTGTTCAGACAGTGATACGAAAACTTGGTCATCGTTTCACACGTCACTTCGATTCTCCAACCCCATATCCCCTGTTTTTTGGACGTTGCTCTGGAGAAATTTGACTATTCCTCTTTCATTTATTCTTTTGTTGGAGAGGAGCGAGATGCATTCACATTAGCCAGACCAATCACAGCTTTACAGTAGGTGTTCAGAGGAGTCTGAATACTTCAGAGTTAACAAACAAGCACAGTTATTATTAGTTCCATTCCTCATTTTTAAATCACATGACAAACTTGATGGAACCTGACCTTGGTTATCGCAAATGCAATTCTGAGAATATTCAGGTTGGAGGATCCTCCGACGAAACTGCACCCAAGTACCCTTCACTTCCCAGAAGCGCAGCGCTGGTGCTTGCTCATCAAAATACTCGCGGTGCCTCGTCGCCACCACGTGCGCACACAAACTGCACCGCGCAGTGTGTAAACAGTTCGAAGAGACTCGTTCCTTCCTTGCATTAAACTTTCAATCAAATACCCCTGTAAGGCGTGAGACCGTGATGCTTAGAACCTACGCACGTAGAATTGAACAATCCATAAATGTTTATGTATGTGTTCCGTAGGTTCACTGTGCGAGTATCCAATTACCCCTTGGTTTGGAGGTTTTTATACTGTCATTTCGCACATTTTAAATACATTTTTGACAAATTTTGGTTTAGAAATTGCGTCAAACTACCTTTCTTGGGGAAAATTACTCAAATACTTACAGTCTTTCACAATAGTTACCCACCAATGATTTCTTTCTTTTTAATTTGAAAGAATTTTCATTTTTTTTAGAATTTTCTTTGACTTTTGGTTACCACAGGCAGCATTTTTGAAATCAGACTTTGTATTTGAGAATAGTTCATTTTCCATAAAATTCCAAATACAAAAATAAAGTGGATATGCAGTGAATCTTTATTCCATAATTTTATATTGCGTTTGCTCAAAAATAATGTATTTTTGTTTGCAGAAAGAGAGAAATCATCTCCTCACGCTCGCTCTTGTGCAGGGTGATTTTTCACCCTGAAAACGTTTGTAGAAAACAAAAAAATACGTGCAGCTTATTTCTTTATTTCTTACGGCGTATCAAAAATTCAATCAAATCTCGAAATGTTCCGTTGTACGGGTAGATAATTGAGTATGATAATTGAATTCATTTTTTACTTAAAGAAGATCAATGAAGTAAAAATAATTTAATAATTGTTAAATGTTACACAGGTGTTATTTATTCGTTTGGAAACAGTTAGTGCCTGTAACGGTTGTGCGAAGGCTCTATTGCACATTGTTTAAATTACTTTTATTATATTATATATTTTTTTTAATTATATTTTTATTATATTTTTATATTATTTATTTTAAATTATATTTTTATCAATTTTTAAATTACGTGAAGCTGCATGTGATTTCATACGCTAACATGTTATTATTGTAAATGTTTCTCCAATTGTTGCTATCGTTTATTTGTGTGTTATTATGGTATTATTGTGTGTGATATAGTGTCCTGATCTTGAAATTTCATATAAAAATTATTTCATACATTTCTGACAATGCCAATGGGGTCGCCAACAATCCAAAAAAGTTGTCGTAATTTCCACAGAAGAGAGCGCTAAATATTACAAGTATATCGTCATCAGATGCCTACTGTGGGACAGCGCTTTACTTAGAGTTGAAGTACAAGTACGCGGAGAGCGTTTATTAAGACGTGTTGTGCGCGCTTTGCAGGGACTTCGGCGCGTTGGCGCACATTGTGAAGAGCAGCTTGGGGAGCGGCATCCTGGCCATGCCCAACGCCTTCCGCAACGGCGGCCTGGCCTTCGGGCTCGCCGCCACCTTCATCATCGGCTTCATCTGCACCTACTGCGTGCACCTGCTGGTGAGTCGCTTCGCGGAGAGCGCGGGTGGAGTCGATGCCACGTGGTATAAGATTCGGCTTTTTGAGTAAAACTAGTTCAAGTTGGTACGTAGAGTTTTGGATTGTGTGTGTGTGTGTGTGTGTGTGTGGTGTGTGTGGTGTGTGTGTGTGTGTGTGTTTTACCGGTTGGGCAAGGGACAAAATCTTTCCTAAAGACTACAGCGGGGCCCCAAGCCCGCAGCGTGTGGATTTCATTAGCTAGTCTATGCCTACCCCACTAAAAACCCTCCCTTTCCGTGCTATTTCCTTACCCGCGGGAACCTCGCCGGTAGGCAATTGGAATCGCGAGTAGGAAGAATGGGGCTTTTTCCGCACTCACCTGACAATTACGGGAGACTTAGTGGGTGTGTTTGGTGTTAGTGTGTGTTTTGTGTGTGTGGTTAGAGTGTTTGGTGTGTGTGTTAGAAGTGTTTGTGTGTCGTGTTAGGTGTTTGTGTGTGTGTTAGAGTGTTTGTGTGTGTGTGTTAGAGTGTTGTCGTGTGTGTTAGAGTGGTTTGTGTGTTGTGTTCAGAGTGTTTGTGTGTGTGCTGTTAGAGTGTTTGTGTGTGTGTGTTATAGTGTGTTGTGTGTCGTGTGGTTAGAGTGTTTGTGTGTGTGTGTTAGAGTGTTTTGTGGGTTGTTAGAGTGTTTGTGTGTGTCGTGTAGAAGTGTTTCGGTGTGTGTGTGTTAGAGTGTTTTTGTGTGTGTGTGTTAGAGTGTTTGTGGTTTTGTCGGTGTCGTTAGAGTGTTTGTGTTGTGTCGTGTTAGAGTGTTTGTGTTGTGTGTGCGTTTAGAGTTTTGTGTGTGTAGAGTGCTTGTGTGTGTGTGTCGTAGAGTGCTTGTGTGTGTTAAGTTTTGTGTGTGTGTGTGTTTAAAGTGCTTGTGTGTGTGTGTGTTAAAGTGCTTGTGTGTGGTGTGTGTTAAAGTGCTTGGTGTGTGTGTGTGTTAAAAGTGCTTGTGTGTGTCATGGTGTGTGCTGTGTGTGTGTGTGTCGGTGTGTGTGTTTCCACAAAGAATACTGAATCATTGAAATTATTGTTTTCAAATTTTGCACAAATACTTTTGACACCCGAGAAAAATAATACCGGAGGGGAGGTCTCCAACGATCACCGCAAATTTTTATTACGCCACATACGTTACAATTGTGATCGATGCAAGATGGATGCACCTAGTCAGCAGCACAACCGCCGGGCTGACCTGGCGGAGCAGACTCGGTGGAACGGGCTGGGTGAGACTTTTAAAGCCTGTTTCACAATGCAAACTTAAATGTAACATAATGCCGTAAACTTAGCAGTAAAATTTGCACGCAAAAACAAGCATTCACAATGACGAACGCATACTGCAACGTAGGTATCGCCTGAGCCAATCAGATTTCAACGTATTGAAGCTTGAGCTATTGTCGATTAGTTTCTAGCATGATGGATTAGGGAGTTTGCGCACAAACTCCTTATATTCACCATGGTTTGTAGTTTTTTCTTCAATTTTCCTATCGATTTGTCTTTATATATAAATGCGAGTAGCTGTTGTATTAATGCTCGCATATTCTTTTTTTCATAAAGAAGGATTCTCTTGTACCTAATTGACGAGTAATTCGTCGACCGTAATTATTTTATTCGCCACGTCCAGTTAGTCACAAAAAATACCCCTAATTATTACTTTGAATTCACGATTTGCATCAAAACTAGTTCAGTAATGAAACGGCTGAACCACTAACTCCCTGAACAGAATCTAAAATCCACCATGATTGTTTCTTTCATGCTCCTCTCTGATTGGTCTTCGGTAGAATTCAGACGCAAACGTAACATAAAAGATTAGTGCTTGTGAGCTCTTTAAGTTTACGGATGTACGCCTACGGTTACGTCAAGGCATTGTGAATGCTTTCTCTTAATAACTCATTTCTAGGTTTTGAAGCTTCGTTATGTTTGCATTTACGTTTGCATTGTGAATGAGACCTAACAGCGGACTGTACATACACTCGGGCACCTGCTGGTAATCAGCTTGTTCTAAAATCTATATCAGCTAAGTGAAGGAGCCCATCTGGATGGACGAAGAATCAAAGACGAAGTACGTGCAGACTCAGCGCCTTGCCCTGAGAAACGTGACTTGGCATTCAATGTGTGGTTTAAGACGCTCGTTGATGGGTTGGGATGTTCTGTAGCGGGCAACTAGTATCAGCCAGAAAAAACTCTAAAATGGAAAAAAAGTCAACATTTATTACGTTATTAGAAATATAAAACAAAAATTTTATTCTTTAGTAATTTAAATATAATTAATATGAACTATTGCATATATATCTCTATAACTATCAATCCCACAGAAAAGTATATACCATACAAAATGAAAGTAGCCTACGTTTAATTTCATACAAGAATTTTCTATAAAGTTGTCTCGTAAAATTAACCATTTTAAAGATATAGACTTGAAAAATTCTTTTTGTTTATAAGGCCCTAGTCAGCTCCGTTATAAAACTGTTTTGATAAGTCCAATGAAGGGAAGTATTTTTATTTTTGTTCAAGGTTTATCAAAAATGTGTATAAGTTACGCATTTTTCGCAAAAAACAGGAAAATGTTACACCTTACAAATCTTATTATGTATATATGGACTTGAGTATCCGGGGTCATTGGGATCCGAGATTACCTCGAGTACGAAAAATGATAATCCATGGTTTATTTGACAACGATCGAATACAAATATATTCGGTAAAGAATTGGCTTCTCGATCAACATACAAATTACATAAAGCAGTACAAATGCCCCAATTAATGGAGGCAGTCATTAGGAAACGAACATAACTCATTAGTGATTTTAGGAATCTTGGTTTTTCCCCCTATTCACTAATCAATGGATCTCATCGCCAAACATTGGTGCCCAACTATATAAATCAACGACTGAGAATATTAAAAAAAAAAAAAAAAGTTTGTCACGTATACTTCTGCGATTTTTCACCAGTTCGAATCTCTGTAGAAGTAAAATTCCATGAGCGATCACACTCTTTAAGAACTATGATTAGTAAAAATAGGTCTCCGGCAAAGTCGGTAGAACATTGTTACATTAAGTAAACACAAACATAAAGTCTCACGACGTTGTTTGTTCATTATAACTAGAACAAATACGAATAACAAAAATTCGACCACGCCTCCCCTTCCACCAGAGCATGAACGTGAAGTGAAGATCCCAGACCTGAGCCAAGCGAACATTCGCGCGCCGTTGCTCCTACGACGCCTTTCTGCTGACGTCGGCCAGGCGGCGGCGTCGCGGCGCCCCGCGGCTGATTCGCAGAAGGGCGGCTTGCGAAGGCCGTCGGGTCGGTGGCGGCGGCGGCGGATGCGTCACCGCATCGGACAAAAGAAGTGCGCCGTGCGCCCTCCCGGCTCCGGTGCACGTGCCCCGCGGCCTCTGGTTTGTGCTGCGTCCGAGTCTGCGAGATAAATAAAGTTGCGTCCGACGGCGTAACACGAATCGGCGCGGTGCAAGGAGGAAGCTCACGGGTTGACATTGCGCATCTCAAAGCGGACCAGAGCTAATACGCATTCGGGGCGCACGTGTCACCCTCGTGAAAGTTAACTGAGCGTGCTACGACGGAACATATTTCTCGTATTATATGCAACGGTTTCATAATAGTAGATTATGGCAACTACCAACCATCTCTTGAAAAACTCTCCGCTAAAACGCGGGACAAACGATAAAAAAAATACTTCGTAGGGTACGTTAATTTTAGAAAATGTAGAAGTTTTAATGAAAATTCTACCTTTATAATAGATTTCAGTGCATTGCGCAATATACTTCAAGAATGTAGAGCTAAAATACGGAGAATTTGTTTTTACCTACAGTAGATTTTTTTTAATTGCCTCGAGTTTATCCCAAATTACGCCAAAACTACTCGTATTTTCAAGAAAACGTTACATGAGAACGTAAAGAAATGTGGGCGTTTCAATCAAAATTCAACGTGTGACATTTTTATACGCTCACTTTGCTTAATTGAAAGCAAAACATTTGTTTAAAAAATTCAAAAAGTGTATTTTGGCATTAAAAGCATGGAAATTATACTTGGAAAGTCGCAAGGACTTTGTTAATCATGTTGGCCAAAAGCTGGAGCCTCGTCATAAACGTGGTGACGCGTTTATATTCTAGTAGTTTGAAAGTCACAACGTTTTTGTCCTAACATTGCAGTGAAAAATTAAATTTTGGCAATTTTTACCACGTTATTCTACGCTGTTTTATTTATTTCTTCTCGTTCGAAAATAGTATTTCAATGGTTTTAACTTTATATAAGAGGATGGAAAAGCCATCCACAAGGTTTGCTTAAATTGGTTTTAATTGAACTTCGTTTTAGATTCGAAAGAGGAAAAAAGGTAAAAGTTGGGGAATGCTTATGAACTGAAGTACCCTTTAAAATCCTCCTCTGTTAAGTCTTCGCAAGGCTGTATAGACTGCCTTGGTTTTCCTCTGCTAAGTCTGTAGGTGGCTTAGAAACTTCACGTTTTCATAAAAATTGTAAATGAATTATTAACATTAAACGGACGTGATACCTTTGACACTTTTACACTTTTCACTATTGTTTGTAGTCTTTATGACGAGTTTCCTGCAAGAAAAAATTACTCGTTCAGATCGAGTTTCAAAGTTTTTTGATTGATCCAAAGGGATCAGGTAGACAATTGAGTGACACTGCACATCAGTATGTACGCGTGTTTATTGTGTTATCTGAATCCGATGTATTAAAAAAAGACCGCTGTTAGGCTTCATTAAAAATGCAAACTTAAACGTACCGTAATGCTGTAAACTTGGCACTTGCGAAATTTACATGTGAACCCAAGCATTCACAATGACGAACGAAATCTCGATCGTAAGTTTTGCCTGTACCAATCAGAATTCAACGTAATGATAAATTAAATAAATAAATTAATTAAAAATAAATAAATTAATTAATTTAAAAAATAAATAAATTAATTAACTTAAAAAATAAATAAATAAATTTATAAAACGAATTAATTAATTTAAAAAATAATTTTAAAAAATAAATTAAAAAATAAAATAAATAAATTAAATAAATAAATTAAATAAATAAACAAACAAATGTCTTTACTGACGGCGAGGCTCAGGCCGTTTAGTCTTCCGCCTGACCATTTTCAAAAAAATTTAATACAATAGTTAATGAAAAGAAGGTAATTTAATAAGCTTGATCTATTCCTTTCTAGCATGGTGGAGAAAATTCTTTCCACCATGCTCGCGAATTCCACAAACAAGGATTCTCTTCTACCAAATTCACCAGTAATTCGTCGAACGTAATTATTTCATTCTTTATGTCATGTTAAAGTTAAAAGAAAAATATTCGAGTATACTACAGAACAAACCACAAATTTCTTGAACATGAACTGAAATCGGCCTTTCATTTGCTTCTCGCGAATTGTGTTGTGCATTTGTTTCTTTCATGCTTCTCTCTGATTGGTATTGCGTAGAATTCCGACATAAACATTGTAAAATCACAGTAAATGTATTTATATATTTATATATAGCTGTATTTATATATACACTGTGGTAAAAGTTTGATGCTTGTAAACTCTTAAAGTTTACAGATTTAAGTCTATGGTTACGTCAGGGCGTAAATTATCTTTCTTAACAACCCGTACCTAGGTTTTGCAACAACATTAGGTTTACATTTAAGTTTGCATTGTGAATTAAGCCTTAGCTCGTTAGCCCGTGTGGCAATTGAACGATTTTGAATGAAGCCAGGTTTGGTGGCGGACAGGTGGCGCTCACAACGCAGCTCATCGGCCCATTACGGAACTTATATCTCCCTGGTACCAAGGCAGTCGCATTCATATCTCGTACGCAAATACATTCTGGCTGGAAGAGGAGCTCAACCATGCCACAACACTATATCGAAATCCATGCATAAGACAAGATTCGAACCCAGCACCCCTCAAGCCGAGACTGAACAAACGAGCCGAGGCACGTTGACCCCCAGTTGCTTTAATCTCGTTTTCCTTCGGTTCGTCTTCGTTCGTAGAATATAACCAGGAATGTCGTAATCCAGTCCTAGCTTCAATTTCCAAATCTATCGTGTATTCTTTCATTTTTTTGTTTTTTATCTATCTCAAATCTTCATATCTACACGCGCGACATTGCCACTTCTACCAAACTATCGAAGCTCCTCATGTTTCTTGCTCAGTCACTATCACACCTTTTAACGTGGTTGAATCCCCGCGTTCAATGTAAGTTAATTACGTTGTGTGATGTAGTGCTATGTTGTGAGATGTTTATTCCTAATCACAATAATAAAAAACAAATTATGTTTTTATAGGTCATGATGATCTCAGAGTTCTCGGTCCTGGATTCCAACCGTACCCCACAAAATTGAAGTCTTCAATAATTCCATTATTAATTTGATAGTTAGTCTGCAAATTTGATCGATTGCCAATTACTTTATATTTGTTATACAATCCTACTGCGCAAATGTAGAGAAACAATGGGACTCGTGATTTTACTCACCTTTTTTTTTGTTGTTTACGAGGGTACTTCAAGAACGAAGGTTATTGGAAGTCATAAAATGAAAATGTACGCCATAAATGTTATTATGACAGTACGAAAAGTTCAGAATGATGCAAGAACGCTAGAAATTATAACAGATATGCAAAAAGCTGTACCAGATTGACAAAGTTTCGTTTCAAATCCTTTTATAATGGCACCAAAAAAATGTTAATAATTAGGGTTAAAGGGATATTGGAAATAATCTCTATCACTAGTATAAATACAAAAAATCAATAAATGGCAATTCTTTGAGGACACAATGTGCATATACCAAATGTATATTTTTATTTTGAATTGGTGTATTTAACAAACTACTGGCAATCACGCATTACTGCTTTCTTTTAGACTCGTCTAAATTTGCTGATTTCAATGCAAAAAGTTCAAATAAAAAATAAATAAATACTAAGAAATACATATGAGTCGTTTCTTAGACTAACGCGTAGCGATAATTATGAACATGACTAAATTTGGTTCTGCTTTTTAGTAATTTCACTTTGTATGTAAAGTCATTAGTCATATCCTAAGAGATGTTATCATTCACAATACGTGATAAAGTGGCATCTGATTTATAATGAGTTAGTAGTGGTTTAAGCGTGCTTCACAAGTAAAAACTGTAAACAACTGGAGAATATAAACTTGTTTTTTATGTAAACGTGAATGTACAACTAATCGATTTAGTAATCTATTGTTGTAATAAATATTTGTCAGAAGAATTTAAGATTGTTAAACAAGAATAAGTAACGGTTGTGAACTGGGTGGAGGTCCTATGACCCCTTGACCATTTGCACGAAGGCTGATAGAAGTACATATTATGCTCTCACAACTTTCATTGCCTTCTGTCTTCATTAAAACATATAACTTTCGGTGCCTTTCACTGCACAACGTAGATGTATGCAAAGTAAAAACTAGTAGTTAGCAGTCATTCAGATCTACGTCTCATATTTGTTTACTTTTAAATTTACGTTAACCATTCTGAATGGTGATATCGTATTAAATTGTAGTAAACTCGCGTTCACTTCAGTTTACATTTATTCCGAACTATGAACCACTGAAGTATCTCGGCGTAGCCTTAGATATTTATCACAATTTCCTACGAGACAGTAGTAGGAATGAATAGGGGGTAAAATTGAAGTAATTTCATTTACATCAATGATCACTGTCAGGTGCCTCCTCTCCATTCGCCTGCTAGCCAATCCACATTCCGTTACTCCGCAATACCTAGATGCATTGCGGATTGCATTAAACCAAAGTCTAAAACAAAACTATTGATACGATAACCACTTAGTTACATTTCGGAGTTAAACAATTACGTGGGAGTACGTTGACTCCGACGTTACACTACCGTTACAATCCCGTAACTACTAACAGTGACGTCAATTATGTTTTGACTGTGCAAAGAATTGACAGTTCCAGCTGGGAAGTTCAGTCAATGCTTCCCGGCTGGGTCAAATCTTTGAATACTCAAAACATAATTTATAAAAATATTGATGTAATTTTGAGATCAAAGAATCATCTTTAAATGTTTTCCAATTTGAAGGTACTTCTATAGAAAATGTAATTCAAATGGTATTACCAGTTTAAAAGTTTTCGGGGAACATAGTCGTCACATTCTTAGTCTAGTATAAGACGAGGTTTTTATTATTATTTGATGTGTGTTTCAGGTACGAGCATCGTTTATGTTAGCAGAAGAAGCTAAAGCAGTCGGTGGCCTGGATTTCGCGCAGACAGCCCAACAAGCCTTTGCAACTGGTCCCGCTCCGCTACGGAAATACGCACTCGCAGCTAAGTAAGCAAACGCCAGTCTTTTAAGGGAGTTGTAGGTTTGCCTCTTATATTTACGGGTCTGCGCAATGTGAGGTTTTGTAGAATATTTAAAGACGATTTTCTTAAAAAATTTCACACCTGCAAATTTACAATCCGTTCTTGAACATTTAGTAAATGGTTTGAAGTTACACAAACAACATTACGTAAATTTATTGGTTGCATTTCTAGTCGTTTTGTCTAAGTTGGGATTAGAAAAGTGGCAGTTGTGTTGACGTTTCAGTCTATACGTATGATCACTATGGTCTAAGAGATTAATTGATATGTGGTTTGAATGTTAATTTAGTTTTTTTCAAATATTGCTGGATTCTTTTCGTAAGACGTCCGCAATAGTTTAGATCTTTAGTTTCTTAAAAAGGGTTTAGATACTGACGAACCACCGTGCTCCGAATAACTTCCTTAATATCCTTTCGAATATTCTGAGAATCTCTATGTTCGATACATGGCAGATACATGGCAGAACGCTATAGATCAACACCGTACGTCCATGTGAGTTTTATGAGTTTTGTATAACAGCACTTTGTTGAACAGAGACAGCTGCGACTTTCAGTTGAGTAGCCATGACAATTTCCGTTCTTTTAATTGCGCTTATTTTCGTTTTGTAATGATATGAGTTTTTCATGCCAAGAGGTTGTCCAAGTGTAATTCAAGATATCTGATAGTAGTAGCCTGGGAGAGATCTGCATTGTTTATACTAACTTTTGCTTTAATCTTAATGAAAAGATGATATGTTTTGATTCCTTTGCCTTTGTAGTTACCCTCTATTTGTTGTTCCATTCTTCTATGTTGTCCAAGTGTTTGTAAATGCTGCAAGGCGCTACAAGGATCTTCATCTGCTTCTAGGATAGCTGTATCATCGGCAAATGTTGCAATAGTAGTGGAGTCAGTTGTTGACAAGTCAGAAGTGGATATTATGTGCTAATGACACAGTCCTGTGGTACACCTGCGGGGATAGGTTTGAATTCTGAGACGACATATTGGTATTTCACTTGCAAAAAGCGATCGCATAGATAGGATTGGAACAGAAGATAATAAGGATGTGGTTGCATGTATTTGATCTTACTTTATAGATGGCCTTCATGTACGACTTTGGCGAAAACTTGCTGAATGTCAAGGAAAGCTGTACAACAGTAAAACTTATATTCTAGACATTGCGTTATAGTATTAACTACTCGATGAGTTTGCTGAACTGTCGAATGCCCTTTTCTAAATCCGTATTACCTGTAGTCCTGTATTATATCACTAATTTGAAACAAAAGACTCTTCAATAAAAGTTTTTCGAAAACTTTTCACAGTACTAGTAAGAGACTTCTAGATCTATAAGAGATCTCTTCCGTGGAAGGTTTTTCCGGTTTTACTTTTGCTGTTAATTGAGCGCACTTCATTGGCTCGGATAGTGACTATTTCGGAGCATTACATTAAGTATTGACTTTATAAAAGCAAGGCCTTTCTTCGGTAGTTCTTTAGTATCTTGCCTGTAATGAGAACGACACCTGAACTTTTTGCGGAATTTGTATGTCTTTTAATTGTTTATTCTATTTCTTGTGATTTAAAAAAACGAACAGGAAGTGATAGTTGAAGAGATGAATTTAAAAAGTCCTATACTTCATTTTCAGGCGAAGTGGAGTCTATGTACTATGTAGAATAATGGGGTTCGATTGTAACCTGGCCGATTTGCGAGAGGGTTGTGATGGCGACCAGGTTTCACAGTCCCTAAGTCTGTTTGTTCGAATACCGTGTAAGGCAATGATATTTTCAAATTATTGTGAAGTTAACAGAGCATCACGTAATACTATACTGCTAATAATTATTTTATAATTGCTCATATGTCGCATAAAGCAGTTAACAATTGGCACAACTGAATGAATACTTAAATCATAAATCACACCATACCTCCGTGATATTATAGAAATAAACAAGGTATTTACGGATATCTTAAAAAGTCCCTATCGTGGCAATTGCCAATATTATACGAGGTATGTCCGTATTTAGTTCATAAACCTATTTGTGACTGCACAAAAACACGGTGCATTCCATCGCAATAACCGGCAGAGGTGGCTAAGAGTATCGACTCAGCAGTGCCTCTGACTGGGAGCTTCTAGGAGTCGAGTCCTCACGGTGGCAGGATTTTCGACACTGGCTAGATAGCAAGGAGTTCAGTCACTGTCTGGAGTGTGAACCAGTGAACGGCTGTTCTAATCGGTAGTTTTCTGAGATTTCAGATCACTACCAGTCCATTGCCGGAGCAGTATCCTAACAAACGGGCCACGGATCGCGCGCGATCTATCCTTCGTCTTCCTTGTTCTATCCTCACCCCTCACTTACACATACTTTCTTGCACTATCCTACCACAGATGCAGTTGGGAGATTAGAGCGGTTGCGGAGTGCGTTTGGGAGCTTAGAGATTGTTCCGGCTGGTGCGGTGCCCCGCTTGTGGGAGATTCCTGTTTGTGGAATGTCCGGTAGCTGACGTTTAGGTCGGCGGCAGATCTCACCATCCAGTGAGGACGTATACAGCCACTTCCCGCGGGGAAAATGCACCATACTTATGCGACTACTGACCTTAGAATATGTCGTGCCTGGAATCACAAACCAATCAAACGCCAAATATTTAACCGAGTTCTCGTGTACGTTTCGAAAGTCTGACTTATGCGAGCAACAAGTAATTGGAATTGCTACAGTCAAGAGCTGGGGTCGATAACCTTTGCGCGGGCCAGATAATCAAGCACCCTATAAATCGCACGTACATCCAACTTCCTCTTACTAAATTTCATATTTTCTATTGTTAAATTATACTTAAAAAAAGACCGCTTCTTTCTTCTAATGAAATAGTCTTTACCTCTGTGTTTTATAAAAAGGCAAATTAATTCCCATTGATCATTGAAGGACCTAACCTAATCCCCAAAGTTCTTCTTATAAGGATTTGACAAAGTCATTGTTATTACGGAAATCAGTGGATCCTATGTGATTCTTGATTGAATTGTTGGAGATGCGGGGAGAGGTTTGATGAAACTCCAGATTTAAAATTTTCCCGATTGTCATCGCCTACGAAAATAAACTCACGGAGCACTATTACGTATCGCACGATCTACGGCATTTGACCAAACTTGGGAGCTTAAGGAAATGCCTCTGTCAACTCGTCTGAAAACGCAGTAATCATACTCGCGTTGTTCGTATTCGACTTCCGTCGGCTTCTAGGGTTAAATCATGCATGCACTTGACCTTTGTATCTCGCGCATCCCACCCCGGGCGAATAGTCGCTTACGTCGGATGTGGAGGGTGTTCGGGAATTTGCATCTCGGACGAGAGATAGAAGACTTGCACGTGCGGGCGAGAGAGGAAGGAGCCGGCCCCGGGCGACCTCGGCGTGCGGACGCTGCGCCCCAAGGTCACGGAGTTTTGAGCGGTGCACAATGGGTCGGGATTCGCAAGCCGTGTACAAAATTCTCTTTTTCTGCTATCCAACTTACATGATTCGCCAAGACCCGAGATGTTGCGGTCAGAGACCTTCCACTGTTGAGGTCGGAGTTTAATCCCCTTTGACCAAGAGAATTTTCTGATAGATAAAGGATGTTTTCTGCAGGATTTCTCGGAATTCCACAGTACTTCCTTACTCTCATTTCATTATCATCCGTGTCATCATGTTCGTTACACATTATTAATCTTTATAGTAATCTTAATCAGTGTATCTCAACACAAACGCCTTTCCCAAGAAATACGAAGATCATGTTGATATTTCTCTGTTCTGAACTGCGGCAGATATTGTGCAGTCTCCCCAAAACTCAGAACATACGATAAATAAAATTGAAGAAACAACAAAAGGCACTAAACAAATATTAAAATTCCGGGTAAAAAATAAAGGAAACTATTTTTTAATTGAATGTATTTACTATATATAATTTGGTCATTACTTTCAATTTCTATGTCAAAAGTATCAAAACGTCATTTCCACAAAAATGTTCTCATACAGCATAATCGTATTGAAGCCGCAAGTTGTGATACATCAGCTATTTCTGATCGTGATCCTTGAAGCTCTCGGTCTACTAAAAGTATTCTTACTATTGGTTCATATGAATTTCATATTAGGTATTCGTCAAAGTCTCGAACTCTCCCAATTGCCTCACCTGCTGCATGATACGAATTGCAATACATATTCGAAATCGTCACCGGTAGGGGGCCGAAAGCCAGCAACGATTTATTGACTCCCATATTCGCTGCCAGAGACTGATACAATGCCTTTCATTTTATCTATTACATCCTTCCCGTGACTGAGCATCTACATGAGATTTAACAACATTTACCGCCTAATCTCTAACCGAGAGGTGCCAGTGGTAGAGTACCGACGTTGGCGATTTTTGACTAGCTATATAGCTAGTGCAAATTAAACCGCTGCCTCGACAAGAATTCTAACTACGACAGCTCTGATCGCTAGTTACCCGTGGTTTATTCTACCTACACTAGGCAAATGCTGGGAAATGCAATTTGAAAACGGAAAAAAATAGCGTGTGAACTTTCCTTCCTCATCTTCGTGTCCATTTCCCCTCACATACTCACGCATTACTCATACATTCACTACTCTACCACAATGGGAAATCATTCGGGAGCTCAGAGCTTATTTCCCGTTGGGGAGATACCTATAGGAAGGAATTCCTACATGGCGGAATGTAGGTCGGCTGCGAACCTCTCGTTTCAGCGGACGGAAAACTTCCCTGTTGTAAAACAACATGCATTTAAAGGATGAAAAAGGATGAAAATGACCAAAGTAGTTGACGCGCCCTTTCACCTTTAGCTCAGTAAAAATGGGATTCAATTAGGACGAAAATGTTTATAAGATCAAATTTCTCTAGACATTCACGTTTGTTTGTTTTTTTTTCTATCATGCTACGCTACTACAAGGCACAAGGAGGATTTTCCACCTTTCAGGAAATAGCGGGACCTCAGCCTTCAACCCGCGAACTTTGGTTT